AGGGAACACAACAGAGGGTCCCTGATGGAGCAGTAGAATGATGGGATGCAGAACTCAAATTCTAGTAAGAAGACCAGACTTAATGGTCTGACTAAGACTGGAGGCACCCCGGAAAGCATGGCCCCTGGTCTCTCCATCACCCCAGAGCTAAAACAATTTCCGAGGCCAACTCTTCAGACAGGGATTGGACTGGACTGTGGGACATAAAGTGATAACTTGTGAAGAATGTGCCTCTTAGACAAGTAGATACAAGGGACCAAAGGGGTGGCTTCTGTCCAGAGGTGAGAGGGGAAGGCAGAGAGAGTTAGGAGCTGGTTGAATGTTCATGGGGAATCAGGGGCGGAGGGGAGGAGTGTGCTGTCACAGAATGGGGTGAGCGGTTGGGGTCTCATAACAATGTATGTTAAAAATAATTCTGTATTGGAGACTAACTTGAAATGTAAACTTCATTTAATTACAACAATAATTATATATATATATATAGATATATATATAGCCAGAACTACCATCACACAGACACATTCTCTAACCCCAATGCAATTAAATAAGAAATCATTATCAAAAAGATAACCAAAGGGAGGTAAGAAAGATAACCAAAGTCAAACTAATACATTTATTTAGAAAGTAAAAAAGAGATTTACAGATTATTCATGGGTCAAAGGCAAAATTATATGGATTATTAGAAAATATTTTGAACTGAACAATAAATAAAATAACGCTTACAGAGACTTGTGGCATGCACATGGAGCAATACCTGGAGAGAAACTTCTACCCTGAGTACTTATATTAGAAAACAAGAAAATTTGAAAACTGATGAATTAAGCATCCAACTCAATGAATTAGAAAAAAAATACAATAGCATAAAGAAGAAGGGAGAATTAACAGCAAAGATCAATGAAATAGAAAATAAAGAAACAAGAGACAACAAATACAAAAATAAAAAAGACTAATCAAAGAAGCAAACCTCTGGAAGACGGTCAAGAGAAAAAGAGAAGGCAAAAAAAGAAAAAAGAAATCAAAGGACATATTGCATTGGGCAAATCTGCTGCCAAAGACCCCTTTAAAGTATTGAAAAGGAAAGATGTCACTTTGAGGACTAAGGTGTGCCCGACCCAAGCCATGCTATTTTCAATCACCTCATTTGCATGTGAAAGCTGGACAATGAATAAGGAAGACCGAAGAAAAATGAATGCCTTTAGATTATGGTGTTGGTGAAGAATATTGAATATAGCATGGATTGCCAGAAGAATGAACAAATCTGTCTTGGAGGAAGTATTGTACAGCCAGAATGCTCCTTAGAAGCTAGGACGGCGAGACTTCGTCTCACATACTTTGGACATGTTATCCGGAGGGACCAATCCCTAGAGAAGGCTATCATGCTTGGTAAAGTAGAGGGTCACTGAAAAAGAGGAAGACCTTCAAGATGAATTGACACAGTAGCTGCGACAATGGGCTCAAACACAGCAACGATTGTGAGGATGGGGCAGGACCGGGCAGTGATTCGTTCTGTTGTACGTAAGGTCGCTATGAGTTGGAATCGACTCAATGTCACCTAACAACAACATGATAAGCTCACTAAGATTTCCTAGAGGTAGAATGTCCTATTCACCACAGAATAATTTCCAGCAGTATAATCAGGAAACAGTTTGTTTACATATTTACTAATACTATGATTTACAATATATATTAAGCGAGAAAAAAGAGAGAAGGCATAAGTAAGCAATATTACATGTGAAAAAGTGGACATGGAGTAGAGATAGACATAAGTAGAGACAGAGGGTAAAAAATGCATTTGCAACTCTGTGAATCAGCAAAGTGTTTGCGTCCAGACTCTTCTTTAACAAACTTATCGATGCTCTGTACTGGACAGTGTACTACGTGCTAGGCAAACGTGGACACATCTGATCCTTGTAACACTGTTATTAGGCAGGTAGTTACTATTTTCCGTTTCCATATGAGGAAACAGAGGCACTAGGGGAATCACCCCAAAAAAATAAAAATAAAAAAACCAAATGCGTTGATGTCAAGCTGACTGCAACTCATAGTGACCCTATAGAACAGAGTAGAACTGTCCCATAGGGTTTCCAAGGCTGTAAACCTTTATGGGAGCAGACTGCAAGCAGCTGATGGGTTCCAATGGCTGACTTTTTGATTAGTAGCCGAGTGCTTAACCACTGCGCCACCAGGGCTCCTTACAAGAGAATTAGGTAACCAAAAAGCAAATAGTTGGGACAATAAAATCAACCCTGGGAAAATCACTAATACAAGCACCCACTGTTGAAATCCAAGGTCACGGCAAGCCACGTTGGCCTGTGTTATGCTCCAGCTGTTTTTACAGATGAACATCTTTTCATCTTGGTCCACAAGTTTTACTTCAACAATTCCTTCTGAATTCGTGTTTCTATAATTCACAGAAACACTGAATTGTCCTAAAATAAAAACCAAAAGAAAGAGAAATATTTAGGCATTCACCTTTTCCCTTGAGTAAGAACCTCAAAAATAGTAAACTATATAATGTCAAATTAACTTTGAACATCATAAAGATTTTAACAAATAATAATAAACACTATTTTATGAGTGCTTACTGTGAGTCAGTGGCTGTGCTACAAGTTATATAGAATACCATCAAATCCTCGCAGCCATCCTATGAAGATTAAGCCTGTATTCTCATTTTTACACATGAGAAACTAAGGCTAAGAGATATTAAGTTACTGGCTTAAGTGATAAAACCAGGAATTTGAACATGCTGTGTGAATCCTGGATCCCTCGTGGTGTAGTGGTTAAGTGCTTGACTGCTAACTTAAAGGTCAGTGGTTCAAACCCGCCAGCCACTTCGCAGGAGAAAGATGTGGCAGTCTGCATCTGTGAAGATTACAGCCTTGGAAACCTTATGGGGGCAGTTCTACACTGTCCTATAGGGTCTCTATGAGTTGGAATTGACTTGATGGCAACAGGTGTGGTTTTTTAATTTATATTAATCTTGCTGAGGCATTGGTGAGTCAGTGGTAGAATTCTCACCTTCCATGGAGGAGACCTGGGTTCCACTCCGGGCCAATACACCTCATGCACAGCCACCACCCATCTGTCAGTGGAGGCTTACGTGATGCTGAACAGGTTCAGCCAAGCTTCCGGACTAAGACGGACTAGGAAGAAAGCCTTGGTAATCAACTTCCAAAAATTAGCCAATGAAAACTCTATGGATCACAATGGTCAGATCTGCAATTGATAATGGGGACAGAGCAGGACCAGGCAGCATTTCATTCTGTTCCGTTGGGCATGGGGTTACCATGAGTTGGGGGCTGACTCTACGGCAGGTAGTAACAACAACAGTATTAATCTTACATGTCCCAAGGTGGTGCAAACGGTTAATACGCTTGCCTGCTAACTGAAAAGTTGGAGGTTCACGTCTACCCAGAGGCCCCTTGGAAGAAAGGCCTAGTAGTCTACTTCTGAAATCAGCCATTGAAAACCCTATGGAGAACAGTTCTACCTGACACACACGGGGTCACCATGAGTCGAAGTCGACTCTACAGCAATTGGTTTTTGTCTATTAATCTTACTCCAAAGTTCACGGTCTTAAAAGCAAGCCAAACAAACAATAATGAAAATGTAAGAAGGGTTTATGCCTTCTCATATATTTAAGGCATTCAGTTGAGGAGAAGAAAGGCTGACACAGACAAGATAACCACCGCTGCCTTCCTCCTCTCCAGCAACTCACAGGGAGGCGCTCAACAGGGTGCTTTCTTCCTCCTTTTCCGCATTACCTCAGCATCTTAACTTAGTATCACAAAAATATGTAAGCTACTGTGAGCTGGTTTATGTCATGGTGCTTTAGCAAGAACTTGGTAAGTGTTAATCTGTAAATTCACTAAGTGTCTGTCATAACTTGATACCAGAGGACAGTAAGCCTGAGTTTTGCTGTCATGGCTAAAATTTAATGAGCACTTTCGGTGTGCCAAGAACGTGCATCATTTTATTTAATCTTCACAAGAGCCTTATGGGTTAGGGACTACCATTACTCAAATTTTACAGAGGAGGAAAGTGGGGCCCAGAGAGGTCATACAGCTTGTCATTGACCTGGGTGGGGCTTGGAGGGTCTTGAAATAAAATCTGACTGACAGTGAAACCCTGATCTTAACCATTCCACCAATCTGCATATTAGGGTCCCAGCCCCCTTATAAATTAGGCACCTGGGTGGAAGGTAGACAAGCTCTCTAGTCTAAGAGGCCAAGTTTGCTAGGTTGGAGTATGTCCAAGTCAGCAATGGCCCAAGCTCCATGTGGATAATTAAGGCCAGTGGGGTAGGGGGTGGGAGGGAGAGGCAGGTGATAGAAGAATGGAAGCTGGCAGAAACCATTGGGGCCAGAGGTCCAGAAGAGGGCTGACAATGCCGCATATCAGTACCAATCTCATGTAAAGACTTTTTCATTGGGTCCGAAATGGACTCTAAATGGCCCTGGGAATAATCCCATTAACCAAATAGAAGTGAGAATGGAGGCAGCAGAGGGTAGTACTAATGCTATGGGGAGGCCTGGGGTTAGGCAACATGCTCTAGACTCAAGGGCTGAACTCTCCTGATTCCTGATTTCTTTAGTTATCCCCTAAATTACTGTGGAGAGTCAAGAGAACTCTGAGTCATTTTCACCATATTTCACAGGAAATGGATTTTCTAGTAGAAAGTATGGCAGATATTTGCCCTTTTATATCATAGAATAACTTGGTCTTGAAAACTAGGCTTTTCCTACCTTCAGGTGTGCATTTTCCATTATTTAAAAATTTTGCCTCTGGACGAAGACATTCAAAACTCTTTTGCTGACAGTATGTTGGATAGCTTCTTCCATTAGTTGAACAAACCGAAGTACCATTCTTTGGGCACTGATAAGGGAGCTTACAAACACAGGTTCCGTCGATGCATTTCTGCCACGGTTGGCAGAAGACTTTATTACAGGAGAGATGTGTGTATTTTTCTGTTAAGCACTTTTTGTCTATGAGATCCTCTTGAGGTGTGTCTGATGTTAAACTGCGCTGTCAAACACAAAGTAAACATTAACTTAGTAACAAACCAAAGTCTTCTTTTTGATTTAGCCATTGAAAACCCTATGGACTAGATGGCAATTGTTCGTTTATTGTCTATTTTATAAGGTTATTGTAAGGATTAGAAACAATATGTATATAATGGTTGGCAGGTATTAAGCATGAAATCAATGATTATCCTAAGGCCAACGTAAAATTCAATGAATCTTAGCAGTTATGTTGAGTAACAAACTTGGTGCTGAATATAGTCTCATGGAATGAATGATGAATGAAATTTATTAATTGCATTATTAAATGCAAAACTATCAAACTCATACTGTGTGCAAGATCTTGCTTAGCTGAATATGACATGGTCTCAGTTTTCTAAGGGTCTACTATCTGGGCAGTAAGATAAAAACACACATAATAACCGGGATACAAGGCAGACTGTGGTAAGTGATGTAACTGGTACAAACACAACACAATACTCTTAGAGAACCAGGGTGGGAGAGATTCAGTCTTTCTAGAGACCAAAGTGGTAGCATTTTAGCAAGGCCCTGAAAGACAGGTGTGCCTATTAGGGGGTTGGTGCTAGCGGAAGCACAGAAGAGGGATATGCAGAATATATTTAGGGAATTGTGAGCAGTCCTATCTAACAATTGTACACAGATGGTGTGTGTTTCAAATGGGGTGGTCAATGAGCAGGAAATGGTAGAGGAAGAGGCAGTAGGAGTGGAGCATGAGAATGGTTTGAAAAGAATTGAGCAAGAAAAAGCAATAGGATTTGACAGTTTAATCCATGTAGGGGCTGAGGGTGAGGAGGAATGTATTGGTCCTAGGTTTTGAGGCTGAGTGATTGTAAGGATGTGTAATGCCCTTAATCAAAACAGATATTCAGTTAAGGTAGAGCATTATGGATTTGGTTTGGGATCTATCGACTCTGAGATGCCTGAAGGACATACATTGGGAATATTTTGTAGTAAGGGGAAAATGTGTGTCTGCGTTTGGAAGACAAGTCATTGGCTTATTTATCAAGTAATTCAATAAATGAATCAGTAAACACTACTCTGTGTTGGAGTCTCTGGGTAGCCAAACAGTTAAGTGCTCGACTATTAACTGAAAGGTTGGTGGTTCAAACCCACTCAGAGGTCCCTGGGAAGACATGCCTGGAAATCTACTACCAAAAGGTTACAGCCTTGAAAACCATATGGAGTGCAACTGTAACCTGCACACATGGGGTCACTATGAGTTGAACTCTACAGCAACTGATTTGTTTTTTAAGGAGCTAAAAACCTCTGCCCTGAGGAGAGTACCATCCAGAGGAGAGACAAGCAAGTTCCCTGATAGAGATGGGCCAGGGATCCATGAAAACATGTGAGCCTGACTAGCATGCTGGGGACATTTCCAGGAGAAGCTGACATCTGGGTTGAGTTCTGATGGTCCAGAGGAGGAGTCAGTTTGTGGAGAGGAGTGTAAAATGAGGGAATGGTGGGGCATGAGATGGGAGAAGCAATGAGGGAGCACATCAAGGGGGGGCCATTGAAGGACTTTAAACAGGAAAGCAGAGTTTCATTTTGGAAGATCCTTCTGGAGGCTACTGGGAGGACAAATCAGACAGGTAGGAGCTGATTAGACCTGTAGGAATCCAGAAGGGATATGACAAGCCTGGGAGCAGGCCGATTGGACAAAAGTCCATTGCGGAAAGCCAATGCTCTCTCTGTCTGCCAGTCGCCCCTTTTGGAGGATGGGCAGTCCAGGCAGTGCTGAAAGCTTGTTACCCTAACCCCCAGCAGGGGTCTCCTCTATTTCTTAGTGCCCTCCAGCTGCAGCAATAAAAAGCCGGGGCTGAGACAAATCAAACAATGTCTTAAAAGCTGTTATGAACACAAATAAAAACCAGCCAATTAAAACCATGCAAAAATTTGCAAAAGTTTTGACAGTATTCTATCCAATATACTTCTCAGTAAACTTTACAAATAGCTAAAGAAACAAGGAAATTTGACAAATCAGTCATTTGGTAAACTGGCTTTTTTCTTTTTCTTGTCATTGTTTAAAATTGTAAATTATACACAACATAAAACTTGCCATTTTAACCATTTTCAAGTGTATGATCCAGTGGTGTCTTAGGCTGAGTTCCCTAGAGGAGTAAAACCAGTGAAGCGCATATATATATATATATATATATATGTAGATATATATATATATATATGTAGATATATATATACACATGTACAAAAAGAGAGAGGGAGAGCCCTGGTGGCATGGTGGTTAAGAGCTATGGTGCAAATCAAAAGGTCGGCAGTTTGAATTCAACAGCTGTTCCCTGGAAACCCTATGGGGCAGTTCTACTCTGTCCTATAGAGTTGCTATGAGAAGGAATTGACTCGACGGCAACAGGTTTGGTTTTTATATACATATACGTGTGTGTGTATATATATATATAGAGAGAGAGAGAGATTTATCTCAAAGAAATGGCTCATGTAGTTGTGGAGGCTGGCAAGTCCCAAACATGTGAGTCAGCTGTCAGGCTGGAGGCTTCTCCTGACTCATGTGGTTGTAGGGGCTGACGAGCTCAAAATCAGCAGGTCAGGTGAGAGGCTCCTGGCTCATGGGGTTGCGGGAGCTGCTGAATCCCAAGATCTGCAGGTCAGGTGGCACGCTGTTGGCTCACATCCCAAGAACCAGAGGTCACAGGATGTCAAGTCGGATGCAGGAGCCAGAGAGAGTTTACCAGAACATCCATATATATTGGATGCAGGCCACACCCCCAAGGAAACTGACTGGCTTTCAAATGAGTGGATGCTCACATCAGATTACAAAATAAAGGATGATTACATAATAACTGCCAGAACACTGAGTATCATGGCCTAGCCAAATTGACACATAACCTTAATCATCCCAGTTCACCCCTTGTCAACCTGGCATCTGTACACATGTTCTTAAACCATACAAAACCTCTAAATAAAGACAATTATAAAGTCATACTTGCACTTAACATGATACAACTAACATGCATACAACCAAAGATGTACTAGCCCCGTTTACATATCATACTTTATAGTAAGTAATGGAATGAGGGAGCGAAGAAAAAAAGATATTCGATATACATATACATTTACATGTATAACAAAACAAGGGATAAATACTAAAAACAATTACAGTCTTCATTTCTGCACTGGTCACGTGATCACAGCTGGTATTTAGAACTACCTTCTTCTACCACCCATTCCGTGTTTCCTTCACCATCAGCAAGCACCTCAGCTGATCACGGTTCTTTGCATGGTAGGGTGACCCAAACCTTCATTCCTGAAGGGTCTGGGCCATTACTAGTCATGTCGGAATTGGGTTGCTGTAGTTCTTCACTGACTTTAACGACAGGACATGGTAGTACTAACAGATGCCCTAAGGGATCTCCTGTATTCCAGACATACTCTTCTTTACCTCCATTATGTAACTTCAATCCAATTTCCCCTTGGTAATTGGATCAATCACACCAGCCAATATAGTAACTCTCTTCTTTGTCTGTTGTTCCAGAGGCATAAGACACCTAAAGTGGCTCAGTGGCATTCTTAACTTTCAGTTCAATGGAATCAGTGTTGCCTCCTGGTGGGAGCATTCCTCCCTTTGGAACTAAGATGTCCAGAACTTCAGAGCATAGGGTCACGGGGAAAGGAAGCAAAAATCTTGTGAGTGGGTACTAGGGATAATTTGGCCATCCGGCCAAACCATTGGCCACAACTTATAAATCAGTATACAATCTCACATACGTCCATTTTTCCTTCCAAGCAAAGTGAGCAACCAGGCGCACTGCTCAAAGTTCTTCCCATTGGGAGGGTTTTCGCTCACCACCATCCTTCAGGGAGGTCCCAGAAAGGAGCTGCAGTGCTGCCACTATCCATTTTCAAGTGGTGCCACGCCCATTTCCACCCCCTGATTCCTGGACCATGAATCCTGGGTATGGGGGAAAAAACACCATATACTGACGCTGGTTTAGAGCATATACAGCCTCCTGGAGAACATTGCCCCAACCCTGCAAGGTATTGCCACCTAGCTGGTGTTGTAACTGTGTCTTTAGAAGGCCATTCCATCATTCTATCAAGCCAGCTGTTTCAGGATGATGAGGAATGTGGTAAGACCAGTGAATTCCATGAGCATGGGCCCATTGACACACTTCATTTGCTGTGAAGTGAGTCTCCTGATCTGAGGCAATGCTGTGTGGGATGCCATGACAGTGAAGAAGGCATTCTGTAACTCTACGGATGGTAGTTTTGGTAGAAACATTGCATGTAGAGAAGGTAAATCGGTATTCAGAGTAAGTATCTATTCCAGTAACAACAAAATGCTCCCCTTTTCATGACAGAAGCAGTCGAATGTAATCAACCTGCCACCAGTTGCTGGCTGATCACCTCGAATATGGTTCCATATCATGGACTCAGTGCTGGTCTCTGCTACTGGCAGATAGAACATGCAGCAGTGGCTGTAGCCAAGTTGGCCTTGGTGAGTGGATGTCCATGTTGCTGAGCCTGTGCATAACCTCCATCCCTGCCACCATGGCCACTTTGTTCATGAGACAGGAGTGTTCATAATGACAGGAGTGGCTAGGGAAAGAAGTTGACTGGCATGTATAGAACATGTCATCCTATCCACTTGACTGTTAAAATCCTCCTATGCCAAGGTCACCCTTTGGTGAGCATTCACATGGGACACAAATATCTTCACTTCTTTGGCCCATTCAGAGAGGTCTATCCACATACCTCATCCCCATGCCTCCCTGTCACCAATTTTCCAATCATGTTCCTTCCAAGTCCCTGACCATCCGGCCAAACCATTGGCCACAACTTATAAATCAGTATACAATCTCACATATGTCCATTTTTCCTTCCAAGCAAAGTGAGCAACCAGGCGCACTGCTCAAAGTTCTGCCCATTGAGAGGATTTCCCCTCACCACCATCCTTCAGGGAGGTCCCAGAAAGGAGCTGCAGTGCTGCCACTATCCATTTTCAAGTGGTGC